GGAGTGTTTGATGGGGGACAGTGTAGAGGAAGCTTTACTCTGTATCTAACCCTGTGCTGTCCCTGTCCTGGGAGTGTTTGATGGGGAACAGTGTAGAGGGAACTTTACTCTGTATCTAACCCCACACTGTCCCTGTCCTAGGAGTGTTTGATGGGGCCAGTGTAGAGTGAGCTTTATTCGGTATCTAACCCCGTGCTGTCCCTGTCCTGCCTCAGAAATTACTCTATATCTCAGAACTGGGCACAAGAACAGGACCATCACTAAAATGTCACAACTATGTTGATTTATTTAGCATTATCACATTTGAAGGATTTGTACATTCAAAAACTTTTTTTTCGAGTGCTAGAAGGCAAACAAACATTTTCCTGGAAGCTCCACAGTAACAATCGCTTAAATACATAAAAAAAAACTATCACACCTTGTAACAAACATCAGAAAGAAACACAATTTGAAGTTAAATATTTAAACATTTATAATTTAATAATTTAGATTTAAGTTATGCTCAGCTGATTCAGTTGGGGAAGTCTGGGTGGGAGTTGGAACAGCTGAAATTTGACAGGGATCACATAGCTCTGGAGTTTCCCTCTGATCCTTTCCAGCTCTCTCTCCTCCTTCAAAACCTAACTCCTCAACCAAGTTTCCTGTCACGTCTTCAAATTACCTTGACTCTGTGTCAATGAGTGTTCCTGTGAAAGCATCTTGGGACAGTTTACTGCGTAAAAGGCTCTCTATAAATGTAAAGGTGAAGTCAGGAATTGGGAAGACATGGAAGTCTCATCTGAAAGGGAGCAAAGCTCACCGAAAGCTACAGCCCTGTCACTTGTAATTTCCCAATCCTCAGCCATTCTGTGCATCGCCTCAGCATTAAGAGTGCTGCTGTGTATGCTTAGACACACTTACACAAGAGAGACAGACCCACAGGTAACACATGCACACAGACACGCATGTATTTCTGCATATACAAGCATAGAGGCAAACCCATACATAATAAACACAAATATACAAGCACACACGTGCCAACACACAGGCATGGAAAAGGACCCACACAAACACACACTCACCATGTATACACACATGTACATGTGCACATACATGCTGAAACACAGGCACACACATACTAACAGACATATAAAAACAGTCACACGGACTTTAAGACACAAACACACAGTGGACACCTACAGAAACATTCAGACACTGGAACATGCATGCAACAGACAAACAGATGTTATCAGATTCAAACACACTGATACAGAAATATGTGCTTATACAGACACACTAATCCATACAGAAGCAGCATTTGTACATATGCCGACATAGACAAGCAGATACTTGTATTCACACAGACCAACACAGGCAAACTCTACACACGTGCTTGCATGCTAACACCATCCTGCTAACACACAAAAATGGACAGACATTAATGAAATACAGCCCTGCGATCATTATGTGATTCTGTCCACAGCTTAAGTCCGCCTTGCAGGGATCTGACAGGATGAGAAAAACAGAGAACAGACAGTTATGAACTGATGGGGAGGGGGCGCAGGTGGAGGAGGTGGAAGGAGTGAGGGGGAAGAGGCGAGAGGGAAGGGAGAGGAAGTGAGAGGGAGAGGGGGGAAGGAGTGAGGGTGAAGAGGCGAGAGGGAAGGGACAGGAGGTGAGAGGGAGGGGGAAAGGAGTGAGGGTGAAGAGGCAAGAGGGGAGGGGGAGGAGGTGAGAGGAAGAGGGGGGAAGGAGTGGGGGTGGGCGGAAGAGGCGACATTTCGGATCTCTGCCAAAAGGCATTCTTTAGTAGCAGACTGAAGGTCATGTTAAGCACATTTCCCTTTGCACAGATAACAGTGCAAATGTCTAAACCAGTGAGCAGCTGAACACAGTCTGACTGAGAAAGGAGCCAAGCTTATTATTCTCAGTCGGCATTGAATTGGCTAACTGCAGTGGGAGAAGATGGAAGGGACTGACCTCAATGCAATAGGATTGATAGATCAATTGAAGAAACTTGCTATTAACATTATGGCTTCTTTTCACAATCTCAGGATGTCTCAAAGTCCTTTACAACCCATGCAGTGCGCATTTCTTTGAAGAAATAAGGTCACCGCTGTAATAAAGGGAATGTGGAAGCAGCAAGATTCCACAAACGGTAATGTGTGAACAATCAGATAATTTGTGCTTTCAGTGATGTTAATGTGGCTCCAGGGAACTGGGCAGAACCCTCCTCAAACACCCCCAGCCCTAATGTATTGGACTGATTTATAGGCTGAAGTCTTTGGAGTGGGGATTCAAGACCTTCTGATTCAGAGAAAGGGGAGCCAGAACGAGAGACAGCGAGCTCCCCTCTCCATCGTCTAAGAACCCCAGCATTTGCAGGTACTGAAAATGTGTTCCCCTCATCACTCATTTACAAGTACAAACAGGAAGGCAGCAAGAGCACATATTAGCTCACCCAAGTTGGCTCCTTGTCTCGGGCAAAAAAACAATGTGTCAGAACAGTGAATGAGGAGAACAGTAACAGCGCTGCCTGACAGGTATGGTGAGGGATCAGGGGCCTAGCTTCAATTTTCATCAGAACATGAGTCAACTTAAAAGCCAATCGACTGCATCTTTTGGTCAATGTTCAACCAAAGCTATCACCTTGTTAGGGGAGTGTGAAAATGTCAAAAAACAGATACTGATAGGGAGATACAGAGGCAGGGAGAGACAGGAATAGACATGCATACTGACAGAGAGACAGACAGAGACACAGACAAACTGAAAAGACACATACACTGAAAGAGATAGACAGAGACACAGTGAGACACAGAAACAGACACACACCTACAGGGATAGAGAGAGTCACAGAGAGACACACACAGACACATACACTGACGGGGATAGACAGAGACCGAGAGACACAGGAACAGGCACATATACTAACAGGGAGATCAGAAACACATGAACAAACACATATACTGACAGAAAGACAGAGACACAGAGAGACACACACAGACACATACATTGACAATGAGAGACAGAGACACACAGATACATACACTGACAGGGAAGACAGAGACACATGAACTGACAGATACACTGACAGGGAGAGACAGAGACACAGAGTCAAATACACTGACAGGGAGAGGCAGAGAGAAATATGAACAGAGATACACTGACACACAGTGAAATATAAATAAACATACACATACAGAGAGAGGGGGAGAGAGAGATGTGGAATACACACATTCTGACAGGAAGACAGAGACAGTCAGGCATATAGGAACAGACATAGACACTAAGATAGAGAGAAAGATGAAAACAATCTGTCTTCATCAGTGAGGCAGATACAGGAACAGTCACCTATGTTGAAACAGAGAGAGAGAGAGAGAGAGAGTGACAGAAAAAGAGACAGGCAGAGATCTATACAGAAAAAATTGACATTAACAGAGAGGGGGAGGGATGGACAGAGTGCTGTTAGAATAGAGGAGAAGCAGTTTTGATGAGAGTCTGATTGTTATCTATTGTTGTAGGGGTGCTGCTCGATTTTTGGTCAAAGAATTCCCCCAGTTTGGCTTCTTCATTTTTGAAAATAACACTGTGGAGAAAGATATCGGAGAAACAGAGACACGGAGGTGAATACATTTTCAGAGAGAAAGAGATGGGGACAGGGCAGACAAGTTTAAAAAATGCCCATTCCACATTGCAGTCACTATTTACCAACATCCCTTACATCAATACCAACAATTGAAGTTTAAGTGGGTTTAACTTTTTTTAAGAAAGCTGTCTCGTGGCCCAAACTACCAAAAGTCATTGCTAAAATGATCTTAAAGCTTATTTTAGCTTTATGTATCATATATATATGCATATTATATATATATATATAAAAACACTCCTAGCCATCTTGCCCATTGCACACTCCTTGCTAACAGCTGTGTGCAGTGCATCATTTTCCTGTAAATGTAATATCATCTGTGCTAACCTAACACTCTCACCCTCCCAGCGCAGAAAGAATCCCTCAATCTCAGAAGGTTTATAATGATCTGATGTAAGTGTAACAAACTGGAAAACATACGGTTCAAGGTTGGGAAAGGCAGGAGGATTGGGAGAGGGAGGGAGTGGGATTAAGAGCATGACAGGGGTGGGGCAAGTGAGCTGCAGTGGAGCAGAGGGGAAGAAAAAATGAGGCAGGATAGACAGAGAAAGAGAGAGGGAATGAGAGCAGAAGGGAATCAGAGTGAGAAGGAAAGAAGGCGAGTGTGAGTGAGTAGACGGGGAGGAGGGAGGAGAGGCGGGGGTTGGGAGTAAGGGGGAGGGGAAGGACAAAGGCAACGTGCAGCTCATTCAGCTGGGACAAGGCCTCAGTGCCGG